TGACAATTTCATCAGTGAAGACTTTATGGGCCCAGTTGATATAACCCAGATAAAACAACCCACTGAAGTCGAGCCCATCAAATTTCAGTGAGATCTTTCCCTGGGCACGGTTGGCTTGGGTCTTAGCTGCCCACTGACACAAAGGTCAGTTCTCAGTTTCTTTCCAGTTCATGAAGCACTGAGAATGAGAGAGGAAACTGCATGCAGTAAGTTAGAAAGTAAGTCTTTGTCTTTGCTGCCCAGAGGGGCAGAGGTCCAGACTACAACTAGTAAAAAATGTTTCATTGAACCATTTTTTTCAATGAAAAACAATTATTTGTCTTTTTGACTGAATCTTTTTTTAACAATTTTCATTTTGGTCAGATTTTATGGATTTTGATGAAAAGTCAGAAACTATTTCCCACTTTACAATAATTTCTATTTTTGGCTTTTAAAACATCCAGTGTTTGGTTTTTGAAAAACAAAATCTGTTACCCCAAACCTGATTTTTTAAAACCAAAGTAGTTTTAGAAAACTGAAAATTGTTTGCAAGATTAAAAAAAATGAAATTTTAACAACGAAAAAATACTTGGCATTATCCAACCAGTTCTAGTAAAGATGCACGTCTTCTTAAGAAACAGCTTTTAAATTCTGGACATGTAAGTAGGTCAAGAACAGTCTGCTCAATGCATAGGCAACACTGATTAACCTAAAATAGTTGCAGCTATCATGGGGAAATCAGGCTACATCTATACAGTAAATAATCTTCAGAGTGTCACTCAATGTGATATGGGCAGTTTTATTAAATAAAAATCCAAAACCTCATGAGAAGGAGTATCCTTGGATCAAATTCAACCCCAGTGCGATTAGAACAGATGATGGAATTGGCTCAATCTATCTGCTCAAAGAATCGACAGCCTTAATAAAGAAGACAGAATATGGGGGAGAGTTTTCAAATACGCTCAGCTTTGGCCTAATTCAACTCCTATTGAAGTTTGCCATTGACGTCACTAGGAGCAGAGTTAGGCCAATCAGGAGCACTTTTGAAAATCCCATACTTGACTTTAGTTACTAGAGGATTTAGCTGGAGACTGCACAGCTGTCTGTGTGTGGTAGGAGGGGTTCTTTCAAGGGGCAGTAATTACCAGCAGCATCTTATAATATTAAAACAGAACTTCAAAACTCAAGTGGCCTTGTGCTGATTTATGCCCATTTATGTAATGTTTGCATGGCTTGGAATATTAAAGCTAGATTTGTTAGCTCTTTTTCTGTTTCTAGTAAGTTTCATGCTGTTGCTCCTATCCCCACCGTAGAAGTCAGATAGGTTTACCTTTACCCCCAAGATTCAGAAATGTTTAATTGTCACTAAAAACAAATACTGAAAGCATTTCTATCCATAGCAGCTGTTGAATTCTCCCTGCCTTTAAAAAAAACCTTACTTTTGGGGGCCCAGATTTACTGTTTGTTGTCTTTGCACTGTGACTTTACAATTCTGCTCCAGAAGACAATAATGAAACTTGCTATTTGCCCAAAATACTTCACACTTCTGCTGCGTTTGTTACCTAGCTGGCTTTTCTATGCATTTTGACTATGCATACTCATGTCCATGCATATTTAATTACAGAATCTTTTGTGGTAAGCATGGAGGTTGCAAACCAGCATCACTGAAATCAGTGGAAATCTTTCCACTGACTTCAGTGGCTCCTCATTCCCCCCAGAAAAATATTTCATTTGTTACAGATTTTTTCCCCTTCCTTTTTACATGGTCAAATACATCTAAAAACTGCCTTTGATCTAGATTATTTTGAGCTCACTTCCTGGTAGAACAGATGCAGCTCCCCTCCTAATGCAATGCAACTAAAGAAAATTCAGGCATTTACAGCTTTTGGAAGCACATGAAACATGATAGAAATCCCCTGAGCCAGGGGATGAAGGACGGAGCACGTGCAGCGAGGCACATGTAAACTACTGACTTATACAACAAATAGCATTTGTGTCACTGAGAGCACAGGCTGCATTACTTTTGTGCTGCAGTGCAAATGTGCTTTCAAACCAACCTGGTTTACCATGGAAAGAATCAGTGACAATTCAGTTAAGTTTTGGGCTGGTATATTCTAAGAACAAACCTAGGAACAAGGAGGCACCTCTTCCCTCTTTTAGCAAAAAGGTGTGAAAGGGGCCAAGAGTGACATCGCTATAACACAAGACTATAATCCCATCCAGCAAGGAGCGAATCCACACCAAGAAGTTGCCCTAGCCACTGCCACTGGTGTTAACACTAGTGAAGTTACACCAGCAATAGCCAGCCTTGTAACAGCTAGGAACCACAGCTTGCACCAGGGTAGCTGAACTTAGTTTCAAGCAGGAGGTAAGCTGCTCCAATGCACTTGGTGGTTATAGCCTATAGTAGGGGTGTACACTGAAAGAACTATGCTGCTGTTCACTACCAGTGCTTGAAAGCCCCAATGTAGACAGGGAACAAGAATTTCATTTGGTGGCTAGTGACTTTGGCCCCAGAAATCAAAACACCCAATCTAAGAGGATCCTGATTCTCAGAGGTGGGAGTAATTTGCTTTGTTTTTTCTGGGTAGCAGGCAAAGGATGTGGTTTTGCCCTGCCTCCCCCGCTTCACTTCTCTTGCTTGGAGTTTGGAGATGTTTTGTGGGACCGTTTGGGTGCAGTAGGTTGATGGAGCACTGTGCCACGTGGGCATCTGAATAGGATGTGGGCGTAGAAACATAGAATACTAGAACTGGGAGAGACCTCGAGAGGTCATCAAGACCTTATTGATGACATTGAGTGCTGGACTAGGCAAAACATGATAAAAAACATGTTGTTTCTTGTTCTTTACAAGTCACGTGGCAACTGTGGTGATAGATATTTAAAAGACAAGAACAATGAGAGGCATGTATGCTCACTAGCTAGAACCTACAGGGCAAAAGGGAGACACACAGAGGCTCTGTGGAACCCATGCACTACAAGACCTTAGTGACTATTTTCTTCCACTATTTAATCTGCGGAAGTGGGTCTGGCCCACGAAAGCTCATCATCTAATAAACCATCTTGTTAGTCTTTAAAGTGCTACATAGTCCTGTATTTTGTTTTAGTACCTGTAGTCAGAGAGATCCAAAAGTTGCCTAAAGGAGCAAAATGACCAGTTCAAACAGTTTTGAAAACCTCAGCTTTAGTTTTCCAGTCCGGGACACGGCCCAGGCTGTTGTTTCCTGTTTTACAGACTTAAGAATGGTGGCATGCTAACAGCGCCAAGCTTAACACAGTTCGTTGCTCAGGGCAGCTTGATTCCAGTGAAAATAATAATAAAGTCAAAATCTTTCTTCCAAACTAATTAGAAAAGCTCTTGAATTTTAATAGGCTAAAGGAGTTTCTCAAGTAGACAGACAAGCCTTCCCTATCCATGGGAATATGTATATTTTATCAGTGTGTATATATATATAAAATTAAAATCAACTCTTGATAGAATATGTAGGTTTTAAAAAGGCCCAGGTTAGAATTTAGCATGTTCCTTTGTAAGAGCTGAAAGCATTTTAAAAGATAATAGGTTATTAACAAAAGTAGGTCTGTCAGAAAGAAAGGGCTTTGACATCAATTGAGAGAAACTCTTATCATTGTCAAATAATTTCTTGGAGTAGTTTTTATTCTTTACTTACTGTAATAAGCTTTAAAACAACATTTGCCTTCATTATGAATTCAGGGTTTGAATTCCAGTGGACACTGAAGGTAGTGGGCACCTTAACATTAGGTTGAGGGTCTCCAGCCTTTTAGCAGGCAAATGTTTATTGATGCTTGAAAAACAATGCAACATTTCTGTTCGTTTCCATGTTTGTGCTTTTGAACCACTAGTGTTGTCACAACAACTCTGGGACTAATCTTTGCTCATCGGTTCATACTCCATCTGCTGGCTCCGCAGCAGAAAAGCACAAGGACTGTAGGCAGAATTTCAAAGGTCATCCTTAACTCTGCCCAACAATATTTGGAAAGGGCATCAGCTTGTGCCTCTAAAGCTCACATTTACCCATGCAATTTAAGTTCCTTTCTGTCATGACCCCCTATGCTTTATGAAAGTTGGCTTACGAATATGAATATGCATAACTCAAGATGCTTTATGCAAAATGAATCATGTAACAGATCAATTTTACAGTTGCTGTCTGCTGAATCTGTACATCCTATTTTTGTGCATGTATCATTCTTGTATGTGAAGTTAGAAAAATGAAGCGTGAATCTGGTTTCTATTCTAAATGTGTTAATGAGGACCATACTTTAGGATCTTGGAGGCTTGGTACTCAAACCAACAACCTGTGAATGGTCTTGTTTGTCTTGTAAGCTGTAACTGTGGTTGGTGCTAGAAAGCTACATGACCATACTACCTGGTACTGGAATCCATCTCGAATCTAGTACTTTTCCATGGGGAGGGGAAGACTGAAGAACAGGTTCCCACCCTGGAGGAAAGTTTATTTAAGGAATGAAAAGCAATCAGGCATCTGTCTTCAGCTGGCCTTTGTAACTGCCTCACCTACCCTAACATGAAGAAAACTGACAACAAAGGACTCTAAAGAACTCTGAAGAAAGCTGTAGATCTAGACGAGAGTAAAGATGAATTCTGAAGCATTTTACCTGATATAAGAACTGTTCAGGGTAGGAATTTACATGTAACAAGTTTCTTAGTATATTAGAATTAGCGGGCATCTTTTGTTTATTTTAACTTAGTAATTTACTTTGAACTGTCTGTTTTCACTTACAATCACTTAAATTCTACTTTTTATACGTAATAAACACACTTTTGTTTATCAAGCCCAGTGTAAATAATTGTTACCTCAGGGGAAGCAACCACTGTGCATATCTCTCTTTCATTGATAAAGGGGACTGGCCTTATGAGCTTTCTCTGTGTAAAACTTTTACACAGAATAAGATGGATTTATTTGGGGTTTTGGTCCCTTTTTTGGGTTAGGTTCCTGGGTGCTGTCAATGGGCCTTATAGCTGAGCCCTCCTGGAGCTGAACTGGTTCAGTGTCTGTGTTGCTCTGCAGGGGGGCAGTGACCCCAATTCTGTGCCTTGGCTGGGGGTCACCAGAGCTTCTGGCCCATCAGGACAGGGTGGTGGGGAATCCCAGTGGACAGGAAGGCAGATGTCAGTGGCTTGATCAGCACATCAGAGGACAATCCCGAAAGGATTTCTGTGATCCAACCCATCATACTTCCCTCAAAAATACATAGTGAGTTTCACAGCTGGGAAGTTACTATTATAAGTGCCAGTTTGGGCATAGCAATATGTGCACTCAAAAATCTAGGAAGTGGGGTCAATTAAAGAAGCCTTCTGAAAATTTGGCCTTGTAGGACTTATATAAACTATGGTACATTTAAAACATTTTTTTCTAATGGCAGGGAATTAAAAAAAATACATGGAATCCAGGGGCCCTTTCTAAGTGGTGTGTAACCCCTCGAGGGCAGCTCAAGTTTTGGTCAAAAGCAGCTTAAATGCATCTAGTTAATTCACAGTTCTAGCACGTTGCAAAACTGATTTACTTAACTTTGTAAGTGCAACAAAAGTCTTGCTTTGCATTAATGAAAATATTTTTTCTTGAATAATAATATTCCTCCATCTGCTTTCTCTACTGTGCAATGATTTGTACAGAGATCTGTTTTAATATATTAAGATATTAGCATTTTAGTTTCTATTATCACAGTATTTAGTTTCCCAAAATTACTGTAACTGGTCATTTAATTTCTGATATAACATGCCTATCATAGGTCAAACCATGTGTATTTGCTGTCACCAGTGATATTAAGCTGCACCCAAACCCCATCCTTCAATTATCTGTGGCTTCCTCATAGAAGCATGATGAGAATGATATATTGCACTTTTTCAATTGACTTATTATTTTATGATAAGCTTATATGCCAATCTAGAGTTTTATTTACTCTTCTGTTTACAGAAGCTATAACATTATCTGGTAGATCCATCCTTCAGGCATGTATTGCAATTCAAGTGAAAGAGATTTGCCCCTAGTCTTCCTTAACCAGAGACTCATATGTACCTGTATGCTGTCTAACAGCTCAATTGGTGGGGAACAGAATAAGAGTGCCATTTTCCTTTGAAATCAGTGGCAAATCTCAGTGGAGCCCGATTGAAGTCTGAACCCTTGACATGATGTCCTTTGAAATAAATTGGCGGGCCGGGGGGAGCTTTTGTTCCTTTCATGGAGGGTCGGGTCAGACGTTAAGTCAATAAAATGATCCCAAAATGGTTCTGCTCCTAGTTTTCCTGCTGCTCTTCGGAACCCAGAGAAGCCCCTGCCAAATACACTAGTGGGCAGCCCAGCTGCACTAGGAAATTGACATGTTTATCAGGCTGAAATGCAAACCACAGCGCCTTTCCTACAGAAGGATGTCAGTGGCATCATCGTCGGGTTTGCTTTCTAGACTTTCCCAAACTTTCTGTCAACCTATTCTAAGACTTCCCCATTGACAGGATGGAACAAGATCCAGGCTGTTCACTAGGGCTATACGCCCCAGGTGTAAGGTGCTCACCAGATTTTCTTCGTTTTCGGCTAGGTGGGTGCACAGTGACCTAATGTTTGTCACGCTCCGCCATGCAATAATTAAGGTGAAGATGATGTCACGGGGTATTTAAATTAAAAATCAGGGACAGATCATGGGCAATACACAAAAATCCACAGACACCGGTGACCCCGCAGGGACCAACAATCAGAGTGCTGCTAGAAACTAACCTCAGGCATCTGCTCTGTCCCCCCTGCTGCTCCATTCTTGGGGGGAGGCTCATTCAACCCCAGCTGCTGCTCTGCCAGTCTTGGGGCTGAGCGCTGGCCACTGCTATGGTGGCTCAAGAGCAACGGCTGACCAGCTGTTCCAGTGGACTAGCGGGTTGCTGCTTCAGTGACCTTGGACCCATCCACTGGCTAGCTGCTCCAGCAGCCATGGGGCTGAGCAGTGGCCACTGCTCTACCCCCCACCCCCTGCTGCTCCTGCAGCAGGGCTTAACAGCTGCAGTGGAGCTGGCTTAACTCTGGCCCTTGCATCAGCCCTGTGGCTGCTGCTCTGGTGTCCCTGGGGCTGATAGCTACTCCAGCCCTACCTTGGAAGACATCCTGGTGGGCCCGGAAAGTCCTGAAATCCATGACCTCCATGACAGAACTGTATCCTTAGTAATAATAACGCGAAAGGCACTTGTTCACTGATTACCAGGGCTAAATGCCCCTGGTGTCTCCGAGATAATGGGTGACCTGTACGGATGTAAATGTTTTGGGGGTCTGATCCTGCACCTATTGGAGCCAAAGGCCAAGCGTAAGTTAGTATCAGTAAGATCATGAGCCCTTGGATTCAGGCTCTTGAATTCTAGGGAGTTGCATTTACTAAAACAGAAATTGCCTCGTTTACTCTTAAGTTACAGCCAGTATGTTCTTGCTATGCACTTCCCACTGATTTCAATGTGAACTGTGCAGCTGGAATCCAGAGCAAAGCTATCAAAAATAACAGCAATGATAAATATCTAGGTAATAAAGAATACTGTCATCATCACGGCAGCCAATGGGAGTTTTTGCCTTTGAGTGCACTCAACACGGGATTGGGCCTTGTATCTATGGTGTTGCTTACATTGGGCCAAATGCCACAGTCTTTACTCAAAATCCCACTGAACTCAGTGGGAGTTTTGCTGAGGAAGGAGTGTAGGATTGGTTCCCTAATCTCTCGTTAATGGCAGAGGCTTTCTAGCTGCTCTTTTGTAGACTCAGGCATGGTACAGTACACCCAAAGAGGAGACTTCCCCAAAATGGGTGAGTAACTTACCACCTAGGCTAGCACTTGCTGGTGGGAGAGGGTGCAGTTCATACTAGGGCAATGCATACTAGGGCTGGAAACACTGACTTTGGAAGTAGCTTTTTTTGGGGAGTTACTTTATAGGTCTAGAAACATGGATTTGCTGGCATTTGAATTGTATGCCTTGGAGAGGTACAATCGGAAATGAAATCCATAACAAGACAGCTACCTGGGTCTTTCTAAGGCACTTGTCGGCAGATGTAAGTAATAAGACACCCTCACAATTCACCTCCGAGTATCTGTGGTAAAACAGCATCTTACTGTGATGTGCAAAACAACAGGCTCCCAGGAGAAGCCTTAGCAAAAAGGTACACTTTATTCAACAGCCCAGAGTGCTTATTGTCAGCTTTTATTCCCTCGAGGTTCAGGCTTCCTGTCTCCGGCCTACATGCTGCAAGCATATCATCTTGTCTATTGTCTGAAACAAAGTTCCTGAGTAGCATACCCACACTATACCTTCACTGATATTTGCAATAATGGACACGGAAGACACCGACAAAGTGGTGAATAGCAGAGAGAGAACTACAGTAAATAGACATGGTTAAAAGTCGACTCAGAATGAATAACTTGACACAAACTCTTTTCTAAAATCCTGTTTCAACTAAGGCAACTGGATCATTATAAAGCACTTCAAATCAATGTGACTTTGGCTTATTTGTTTTTGTTTTCATCTGCTGGGTGAAATGTGGCAATGCAACCAATCTACAGACTAAATTTATAATACGGCAACGCACCACCTCTCTGGTTCTGCCTGCCTATTACAAGATTTTCTGGTGATATGATTACTTTGTTTCTGTAAATTGATGCTATGGTTTTTCACTTCTACTGTTCTGCCTCACCCAGCTGCTGAAAACCTCCTGACCCTGCGTGGACACTTTTCTGTATAAAATAGAATTATTTGTTATTTCTTGTAGTACAAAGAACATTCCTTCAATCTGGAGGTAAATGTTGATCCATTTTGATGGCTCGGTGCTGTAACATACTGACAGAGTTAAATGATTGGGAATTGGAGTCACTAAGGCTTTGCCTTCATATCATTTTAAACAAACAAAAGTAGATCCTGAAATCTGTGAGTATCTTATAAAAAAAGTAATTTGAGAGTATATCCTATATATAATGTATATGATTACATATTAAATTACTAATGATCTTTCTGTGCTTTTGATTCATTCATATTCAATTCCTAAGTATTATAAATTTATATGTTTGGTCAAGCCTTCCTTAAGGCCACAAATGACATTTTTTTGGTTGTATTACAGTGTCTTTAAAGTTTTCAATGCAGCACGTTGACCTGATTCAGAGTCAGCCATTAGCCGACATCCTGTTTTGTCTTGGCTCAGTGCATTCGAGCATCGTGTGGGAAGCACACACGCTCTACAGGTTGAGGAAAGCAAATAGACACTAGCTGGCTAACATGTGACAGCCGGAGGTTTCACAGAATGGAGGAATCCTATGTGGTTTACCAGGACTCCTTTCTGGTCATGTGCCCCGTTTCAGTTTGGGTGTGATGCTCGCTGCCGTTCTAACCTGGGGGGTTTAGTTGAACAGTAGCACTGTGTTGCTTTGCTTTTCAAGTGGCCTCATACAACCGTACAGCAGCGGCGGCACTTCACGCAGCGTTTCTTCTTTTTCTTAGGGTGGAAAATGGTGAGTATTGCTTCATCGAAGACTGTTTTAAGGCCTTTCTGCGTCAGGGCCGAACATTCCAAATAACACTGTGCTCCAATCTTAAACAGAGAGAGAGAAAGGGGTCATGAATACACAGTTTGGAGAAGATGACACTAGCACATGTTTATGAGCCATGATTCTGCTGCCCTCAGGTGCCTGTAACTCCCAGATATAGAGTGAGCCATGCCTTTAACAGGGACTCAATCCCAGCTCTGCCTTGTACCTGGCTTCCTCTCTGGCTGTGTCTAGACTGAAGGGTTTTTTAGAAAAAAAAGTAGCCTTTTTTCAAAAAAACTTCACCTGCGTCTAAACTACAGTCGCGTTCTTTCGAAATTAAATCAAAAGAACGCGGCTTTTCTTTCGACGGCGGTACTCCTCATTTTATTATGAGGAAGAACGCCTTTTTTTGAAAGTGCTCTTTCAAAAAAAGGCGTTCTTGAATGCAAACAGGGATTTTTCAAAAGAGAGCATCCAGACTGCCTGGGTGCTCTCTTTCGAAAAAGCGGCTTGTTTTTTCAAAAGTACTGCTTGCAGTCTAGACGCTCTTTTTCGAAAGAGGCTTTTTCGAAAGTACCTTTCGAAAAAGCCTCTTTCGAAAGAGGCTTGCAGTCTAGACGTAGCCTCTGGGACTACCACCAGGCCTTGTGGGACAGGAATTGAGAATAGATGCCAGGGCATTGTCTCAGTGCAGAGGGAGAAGTGCAGAGAGCAACAGTCTGCTGGTGGGGTTGACCAGGAAGACGAAGTACCATGTAGGCCAGCGGAGCATTTGTAGGAGCTCCACTGAACAGAAAAGATGCTAGATCTCAGTGTTTCCAGGAGGCATTGGCTCAGGTGCTTCCTGGCAGCATGGTTGAGTCGTCACTTAACATAACTATCCTTAGCTCCCCTTCCATGCTTTTAGGCCTGTCAAACTCCATAGAGCTGGAGCTCTTGTGGAGGTGCTTCTACAGGGTCAGGGTGATTGCGGGAACAATGCCAATGAGTTAAATATGCCCTCCCTGTTCTGTGGGCAGTGGCATCCCACCTTTCATACGCTGAGTGGACCATGCACCTCCCCGCAGAAATACATTTAGATAAATGCAATTCCTCTGCTTGGCCTTTTAGAGCCATTTGACTAAATAGCAATGTAAGCAACGTGGGCAGTGACTTGTTGGAATGTGCTCGTGTCTGAATGCTGCTGGCGTTGGCAGGTGTGAATATTTCATGTTCTTTTCTCCATCCTGTCTCCTAACCCAGAGCGGTAACGCTTTATAAATGGAAAAGACGATCCCAAAAAACAGAAGTCTATGGGCCTGAATCTCCTTTGCAGCAAGGCCCCTGCATGTAGCTGTGTCAAATGGCCTTCAGCAGGTAAATGAGAATCAGGTTGGATGTGCTTGTGTGGGAGTAAATAAGGGTACGTCTGGACTGCGTTGCTCTTTCGGGATACTGGAAGTAGCAATGCTGAAATAGCAATGCTGTGTCTTTAAAAGCGCCCGCTATTTCCCGAAATAGCAGGTGCGCTATTTCAGCATCCCTGTAACTCTCATTCCATGAAAGTTAAGGGATTTGTCAGAATAGTGCCTTATTTTGAAATTCGGCTCTGTGTAGACAATGCCAAATTTCAAAATAAGCTCTTTCGATTTGTGTAGTGCAAATTGCGTAGCTTATTCTGACAGAAGGGTGCTGTCTAGAGGCACCCTAAGAGTGGAATTTGTCACAACATGATTAGCCCATGTAGCACCAGAGAAAATATATTCCAGCTTGTTATTTTAGACAAGATTTTATATCCATCTCCTACATATGGCCGTTGGCTAAAAAGCAGGATCTAAACACACTGAAACTTTGGGAGAGCTCCCATCCAGATGAGAACTTTCCAGGTCATTCTCATCACTGCAGGCTACATGCAGCTTCTGTAGGTTGAGATTCATATATTTTTTGCAGTGTTGAATGTTACTCTGCGAAACACAGATATAAATTTTCTCCCAGGAGAACTAGCTATTGCCTTTATAGGCTAATTTAAATGAATAACACCCACAGTGTACAGTTTCACATGACGTATAAAATAATCTATTCTGTATCCATTTTGTTATGACCAAATAAGGTAAAACACTGCAGGAGATGATCCCAAACCAAACATAAAAACATTAGATGTTTCATTTCATTCAGATGTCTCATATGTGCAGTGTGCTTGTTATATATCAGAGATGTATTAGTGGGATTACAGAATAACCAATGTAAGACTAAAGACAGGCTTAAAGGTGCAAACACATTTCAGGTTTGGCTCTAGAATGTTTGAATTTGAGGTTGTAGGATAGGCCCAAGTTGAGTGAAACTGTAGGAAAAAATGAAACAATTGTATGTGATTGAAATACAGGCAGTCCCCGACTTACGCGGATCTGACTTATGTCGGATCCGCACTTACGAACGGGGCTTTCTCGCCCCGGAGCTCGCAGGCAGCGGTCCCGCCACCTCAACCTCCGGGGCGAGAAAAGCTGCTCCCGGTGCCCCTGGTCTGCTGGGGACGGTCTCCAGCAGACCAAGGGCACCGGAGCAGCTTACGAACGGGGCTCTCTCGCCCCGGAGCTCGTAGGTAGCAATCCGCCACCTCGACCTCCGGGGCGAGAAAGCCCCGTTCGTAAGTGCAGATCCGACATAAGTCGGATCCGCATAAGTCAGGGACTGCCTGTAGTTCAATGAATTAAGCTAAACCAAGCTAAGGTAACTCCATAACAGTGTCAAAATATGGAATGAATGTGCGTCTTACTCAATCCACTTTAGCTATATGCAGGGCTTGACAAACAATGTAATCTAGTCACCCATGGCGAGCAGATTCCATCCCGGAAGAGCCGGCGCAGAGTGATCTGCGCATGCGCAGAACCACGTGGCTGGCAAGCAGGGCTTGCCGCTGCTTGGCAAGCCCTGGCTATATGGATAAATCTCTAACATTTCCATGTAACCACATATTGCTCTCATATAACTTTGTATTAAGAGAAATTTTGTAAGTCCTTTTATAGATAGATATAGATCTTGTCCTTTTAGATATATCTTTATGTTAAGCTTTCTTATGGAATCCCTTGTATTAAGAGAAACCTTGTATCTAGTCTTTTCCATAGAAACTTTGTATCAAGTCCTTTACATTATAGGTCTTATGAACAGTTAAGATAAAAAAAATGTCTTTTTCTAGGAGTAGAATAGATATCTCCCCTTCCATGGATTGTTCTGTTAAAATGAATGAGGTGTGAATGGAGAAGCCTTTAAAGGTGAGTGTATGTAAGTCAGAACTGGCGGTCAGTTTCAGCAGCGGCTGAATCTGGACGCCAGTTCCGACTTACATACAGATTCAACTTAAGAACAAACCTACAGTCCCTATCTTGTACGTAACCCAGGGACTGCCTGTGTACACAAAGTAAAGTTGTGGCCAAACTATTTTACAGCCTGGCTCCCGACAAGAGGGCCATAGAAACAATGATACCTCTTTAGCCAGCTTCATTCCATGTTCGTAAGTGAGGGGTTTCTCCTTCATGTAAAGTAGTCGAGCCAAAGTTTTGGGATCGTCACGAAGATCAATCTAGCAGTAAAACACACACACAGTGCTAAACACAACATTCCTGTAGATGCGTTGAAACAGGTACTCAGAGCATACGGCTCCACAGCCTCATGCAAGAATGAATATTTCAAGGACACCCTTCTTGTCCCCAGCTAGAGATGAAAAATTCTAGTTTTTACACCTTAGCAAAAGATGGACTAAATAGGACACGGTCTCCAAAAGATGCTGGTATAAAAAAGGGTCTAATGTATTTCTAACTCACCAGTATTTGTAGCATCCTTTTAGAAGTCTGAAAAATATTTTCTTCATTTGGTAAACCTTGATTTTTCTCCAATAATGTTACGGGTTTGGGCCGCATTCTGCAAGAGGCAGGAATACCTTCAACTCTCACCAGAGGGTGTTAGTCATTCTCAAGAGATACTTGGCACCTTGCAGGATTAGGCCCATCACAAAGGATACGTCTACACAGCGGCGTTATTTTGGGCTAAAGTCCGTTATCCTGAAATAGCGTTCTGTGTGTCTTAGCAGCACACCTGTTATTTCAAAATACATGTGAAATAACGGACTGCTTATTCTGGCCTCCTGTAAACCTCACTGCACGAGGATTAAGATGCTGGAATCACGATTTCTTTTGAAATTAGTGCTGTGTAGACAGTGCCAAATTTCGAAATAAGCTATGCAATTTGCATAGCTCAAATTGTGTAGCTTCTTTCGAGGTACGCGCTACTGTATAGATGTACCTGAAGAGAGTGTATGCAAGTTAGCTGCAGAACTGGCCTAGCTGAAACTTACAAATATTTTTGCAACACAGCAATTGATTTAAAAAAAAAAATCCAGCTCTGAAGAATATAGTCATCCTAATGTGACCATTTGGCAGGAGGGAACCGCCGAGTTGGGGATATCTGGTGACATTTGGAGGAAGACGATAAAGACGAAAAATATAGGTCTGAACAGGTGGTCATGTGCCTATGACTCTGCTCTGCAGCTAGGCTTTGTCCCTCCTCTTGGTAGTGGCTGACAGCTGCTGACCCAGGACCCATGAAGTGCAGCCCCAGTGTGAGGCTCCTCCCCTGACATCCTATTGGTGGAGCCACAGAGCAGCTGATTGGCCTGCTGGCCCTATTTAAGCCAGCAACAGGAACAGGAAGCTGTCTGAACAACTGGAATCCAGCCTGCTATGGACTGCATGCTTCTTGCTCTTGCTCTCCTGGCTTGGCTCCTAACCTCCAGTTTCAGTCTTGTACACAGGAACTTTGGAGCGGGGTGGGTGATTTTTTTTTTTTTTTGGTAAATGTGGACTGCAATTTTTTTAAATAAAAAGGAGTTCAAAATAGCCATGCAATGAATGTGCGTAAGAGATGTTAATGACATATTTGAGTGGAAACAGTGACTGGTAAAATGATTTTGTTATAACACACTAAACATTTATACAGCAATAAAGGTTTTATAGAAATTATCTTCTGGGATCATGGTGGGCAGCTCGGCTGCCATGGTCCCCCCACTCCCTTGGCTGGCTCTGCCTGCTGCTGCTCTACCTGCTTGGTGAGGCCAGTGCCAGATGAGTATGGGCGGGGCTTTTGGTCAGTGGGGCCGGGCCCCGGCTTCTCCTGCGTTTGCACCCTTCACATCGCTCCTGCATATGGGCCTGGGTTTGTCTTCTGCCTCTGATGTCCTAGTATCCTGACCCAGATGATCTTGGCTCTTGAATGAGGACTCTGGCTCTAAGCACTAGGTCTGGCTGCCCACGACTTGGCCTCAACAGTCTGGTTTTTTTTTTAATCTTCCATTAAACTGCGTGTGCCAGACAAGGTTGGAGATAGGATATTGGATCATGGATCTTATCCATTTGGACTCTGGGGGGAGGAAGTTGTCTAAGCAGGACTGGGCTGGGCTAGAAGAAGCTGTGTTGGCTCTAAAGAGTTTGTGAACCCGTCATGGCTTATGGAAGGCTAATCAGGGAAGGGAGTGAAGGTTGTGGGTATAGCTGGGGGATGTAATATGGGACTGGCTCCAGAAAAATATAATTAATTTAAAACTCAGTAAAAAACAACAGTGATATTGAGGAGCCATTCACACAGAATATGGCTACACTGGACCTGTGGCTGCAGGTGTAATTTCCTGCATGGTAGATCTACCTGTGCTAACTCGGATCAAGCTAGTGCACGGAAAATAACAGATCTGGCTCTGATTTCTGGCTTGTACGTTCTCTTTCTCCCAAGGAAGGGAGAGCTGAGGCAGCAGGAGTAGTGAGGTGTACTTGCCAACCTGAGTCTGTATCTAGGGTTTTAGATGGGATTGTATTTGGGTGGCTAATTGATGCCGCTGCTATTTTTAGTGTGTGGGTTCAATTGGAGCCAGTGTGAATATGCCTTCTCGACCTGGGAATTATAATGTAGATACACCCACAGAGTGATCTTTGGGAAGGTTGGGAAACTAGACACATTATGTTTTCTCAGGGCTTGGGGAAGCCTGCTTGTTTCACTTGATGTGAGGTTTGCTTTGAGTTTGGTATCAGGTCTGCCAGGGTGGAAGCAGGTGTGTGCAGAACAGCAGAGTTTTCAGGGGCCCTGGGACCAGGGTTGCCAACAGCCTCCATGGGCCCCTGGGCAAGGTTTGGGGGGAGGGGGGCTGGTACCATGTTCCTCAGGCGGAAGGGCCCCCTCCAGCCCTCAGAGCTGCACGAAGCATGTGGTACGGTGCTCCGGCGGCCATTTAAAGGGCCCAGTGCTCTGGCCACTGCCGCAATGTCAGCAGCCAGGAGTCCCTGGCCCCTTTGAATTGCCGGGCAGTGGGGTTACTGCCCTTTTCCTTTCCCCCACCTATTGGCAGGCCTGCCTGGGACAGCAGCCAAACCTCACTCTGAGCAAGTTCCATCTGGCTCTGAGTGAACAAGGACTGCCTGGCTGTAGAGTGCAAGACCCCTTGTGCGGATCAGCTGGCTTCCTGGTTTATAGCTACCTGTGTTCCTATGAGCACATAAGGCACATGCGGCATGCTGACTTTCAGTTCAGGCACCCACTCTTCCTGGACGTTGTGGTAAGAGGCAGGGTTCACCACGGAGAAGCAGATCAAGAACACATCTGTGTTTGGGTAGGACAGGGGTCTGAGCTGATTGTAGTCCTCCTGTCAGAGAACAAAGGCGGGTGTTAGCCACGAGTCACACAGGCAGCCTCACTGCAGATCTGCATGCACATTACGTGCGTCCCAACAACACGGCTTCTGAATGTCAGCGAGAGCTGATACATTCCAGAGGGTGGAATGGCCACTGCAACGGGGTGATGAAGGTTTCCCACAGCCAGCTCATTGGCGGAGTCCAGTCTCCGAGATACCTTTTACGTGGGCATTGCACAGAGAGGCAGTGGGTTGCATATTCGATTTTCAAAGCAACTGCAGCATTGCTGCCTTTGATGATAAAAGTGTGCCAGACAAGGTTGGAGATAGGATATTGGATCATGGATCTTATCCATTTGGACTCTGGGGGGAGGAAGTTGTCTAAGCAGGACTGGGCTGGGCTAGAAGAAGCTGTGTTGGCTCTAAAGAGTTTGTGAACCCGTCATGGCTTATGGAAGGCTAATCAGGGAAGGGAGTGAAGGTTGTGGGTATAGCTGGGGGATGTAATATGGGACTGGCTCCAGAAAAATATAATTAATTTAAAACTCAGTAAAAAACAACAGTGATATTGAGGAGCCATTCACACAGAATATGGCTACACTGGACCTGTGGCTGCAGGTGTAATTTCCTGCATGGTAGATCTACCTGTGCTAACTCGGATCAAGCTAGTGCACGGAAAATAACAGATCTGGCTCTGATTTCTGGCTTGTACGTTCTCTTTCTCCCAAGGAAGGGAGAGCTGAGGCAGCAGGAGTAGTGAGGTGTACTTGCCAACCTGAGTCTGTATCTAGGGTTTTAGATGGGATTGTATTTGGGTGGCTAATTGATGCCGCTGCTATTTTTAGTGTGTGGGTTCAATTGGAGCCAGTGTGAATATGCCTTCTCGACCTGGGAATTATAATGTAGATACACCCACAGAGTGATCTTTGGGAAGGTTGGGAAACTAGACACATTATGTTTTCTCAGGGCTTGGGGAAGCCTGCTTGTTTCACTTGATGTGAGGTTTGCTTTGAGTTTGGTATCAGGTCTGCCAGGGTGGAAGCAGGTGTGTGCAGAACAGCAGAGTTTTCAGGGGCCCTGGGACCAGGGTTGCCAACAGCCTCCATGGGCCCCTGGGCAAGGTTTGGGGGGAGGGGGGCTGGTACCATGTTCCTCAGGCGGAAGGGCCCCCTCCAGCCCTCAGAGCTGCACGAAGCATGTGGTACGGTGCTCCGGCGGCCATTTAAAGGGCCCAGTGCTCTGGCCACTGCCGCAATGTCAGCAGCCAGGAGTCCCTGGCCCCTTTGAATTGCCGGGCAGTGGGGTTACTGCCCTTTTCCTTTCCCCCACCTATTGGCAGGCCTGCCTGGGACAGCAGCCAAACCTCACTCTGAGCAAGTTCCATCTGGCTCTGAGTGAACAAGGACTGCCTGGCTGTAGAGTGCAAGACCCCTTGTGCGGATCAGCTGGCTTCCTGGTTTATAGCTACCTGTGTTCCTATGAGCACATAAGGCACATGCGGCATGCTGACTTTCAGTTCAGGCACCCACTCTTCCTGGACGTTGTGGTAAGAGGCAGGGTTCACCACGGAGAAGCAGATCAAGAACACATCTGTGTTTGGGTAGGACAGGGGTCTGAGCTGATTGTAGTCCTCCTGTCAGAGAACAAAGGCGGGTGTTAGCCACGAGTCACACAGGCAGCCTCACTGCAGATCTGCATGCACATTACGTGCGTCCCAACAACACGGCTTCTGAATGTCAGCGAGAGCTGATACATTCCAGAGGGTGGAATGGCCACTGCAACGGGGTGATGAAGGTTTCCCACAGCCAGCTCATTGGCGGAGTCCAGTCTCCGAGATACCTTTTACGTGGGCATTGCACAGAGAGGCAGTGGGTTGCATATTCGATTTTCAAAGCAACTGCAGCATTGCTGCCTTTGATGATAAAAAAAAAAAAGCCTTTGGGAGTAAAATCAGCTCCATAGGTTGTACTTATTGGTCTTCGCCTTCCATAGACCATAATCCCAGAATGATTATTTGACTGCCACTCTCCTTGGAGCCAGGTAACCATGCTAGAGGACATTCACACTGTGCACTTTACATTAAGTAATTTCTGCAGGGTGTATAAAACCTCACAAATAGTGCAGACATGGCCAGACACAACACAAATGAACCTTTGGCTCTTCAGTTACATCGCACTCTCCCATTATCTCCAACGCCACTTCAGTCAGAAAGAGGAACTCTCACCCTGGGAATTTAGCAGCGTCGTGGCAGATTGAATCCAGTTGGTGACTCAAAGGCCAGGTCTACGCTAAGAGGTTATGTCGAAATAAGTTATTTTGAAATAATAATTCCTGAAATAACTATTTCGAAATAAGCGTATTCCTCTTTACAAGCAGGAGTTATTTCAAAATAACAGGCTTGGTAGTGTAGGTGCTCGCTTTGTTATTTCAAAATAAGGGGAGTTATTTCGAAATAAGTCCCCAGTGTAAATATGCCCAAAGTGATTTAATATTTCCACTGGCTTCTGTCTGGTGAGGGGAGAGGTCATCTTTCCCCTCAGGCTGTGCAGCTTTCAGGTCCCTTAGACATACCACATAGTTAGCTGATCTGATAACTGGGAAGCTTGTTAGGACAAATTTGGGTTCCCTCTCAGTCCTGAGCATTGGAGCATCTGTAGGAATTTTGCAAGGCATGTGAAATGGATCTGGGATAAGAGCATATGGAGCCTCACCAGCAAAGTTCCCTCTAATCTTTCCCATCCATGTGCGGAATAAATTTTCAATGTGCACCGAGGCATGTGTCAATGTGCACTACCAGTAGAAACACAACAATCTAGATGTGGGCACTCTGCTAATCAGCTGGGCAGCATTTGAAACTCTCCTGAGTGGCCACACAAGCGCACAGCTTACAGGGAATACTGCCCACTAGTCCCTTCTTGGGCAAGTCACATTCATGTTAGAGATGCTGGGTAGAAGTTAGGGTTTTCTGTTTTCCTGCAAGTGGCTCAAACATTCTTAGTGTGTATGGCATTAGCCTGTGGGAGTAGTTAGTGGCGGTCCCCCCTTTCAATCTCTGCTTAGGCTTTTTGAGTCATCAGATTAGAATCCTGGCCTAGCCCACACGTGGCAGCCCTCAACTAGAGTGATCTTCCCTGACTTCCAGCAACTTCTGTGTCAAAATACTTTTTGAATGGGAAATGGCCTTCCAGACAAAAAAGGACACTTTCGAGCAAAATGTTTTTCTAACAGGGAACCCAGAGACCTCTGGAAATGTTCTGTTACTGTCTCCTCCAGGTTTGAAGCTTGGGCCATGTGAAAGAGCAGAGCTTTTACTTAGCCAAAATCTTTTCATTATTTATATCATGGGAGCACCCAAACTGTGTAGGGTCGCTCGCTGCTCGGCGTGTGTTCTTCTGCACCAGCTTATGAGGCAGTTTCAAGTGGTAGCTATACTGCCTACACATCATCTTAAAATGTGCAGACTTAAGCTTTTAGCTCTGAAGGGTTCCAGTTCGAACCCTGGTGTCAGCCAGGATGGCCGCCAGCACGCACACATTGCATGAAGGCACAGGAAAACGCAGTTTCTTTCCTGTAAGACAAAAAGCGGAGTAATGGGCGACCATGTTCTAGTAGGGTTGGCAGGGTGCTGGTTGGCACAAGAGCTCATTGTAACCCTTCGATACTGACTGAAAAGTATCAACAATCCCCAGCTGCTTCTCTGCCTAGTGATCATTAACTGACCAATATTTTGTAGGGGAGAAGGCGGGTGGGGGTGTCAAGGAGGGACTGAGTGGTGAGAAGGAAATGGCCTGGTTTATCAGTTCAGGGAGGATGTTCCAGGCAGGCCGACCAATAAGGAGTGGGGGGCGAAATAGGGGCAGTTGCCCAGGGGCCTGGTGATTCAAAGGGGCCTGCAGCTCCTGGTTGCCACTGCTGCAGCAGTGGTGGCCGCTGAAGTCCTGGGCCCCTTTAAATCACCACCAGAGTGCCATGCCATGTGCTCCGGGCATCTCTGAGGGCCAGCTGCCCTGACCCCGCCCCTTCCATCTGAGGTCCCACCCCTTCTGGGACACAGAGCCAGTCCCTTCACACCTTGCCTGGGGGCCTGTGAAAGCTGTAAGCCCCCCTGGTTCCATGCACCAGGATCAGCATGAAAGAAAATGCAAAGACACTGGTGAGAGAATTGGCTAAATGTGCCTCACAGCTGGCACCACTGGTGGAGCAGAGAGCGTGCTGTGTCAAGAGGCAAAACAGGGAGGGACATATGGTTGAGGATGACAAGAAGCTTCCATTGGATATAGTGAGTGGAGGGAGTCAAAGAGGGAGCCGACCTAAGTTCCAGCTAAGGCTTAGCAGCCTATTAAGTGCGGTGCAGGGCTGCAGCCGGAAGAGGTGCCTCTCTTTGCCAGCCCTGGCCCAGCCCTGCACCTGCCATGGCTGGGGAAGAGGCACCTATCCTGCAGCCCCAGCTCTATCATGGTGTGGAGAGACACCTCTTCCCTCCAGCCCAGGTGCTGGTGCAGAGAGAGTGAGTTTGGGAGAGTCCTCTTTTCCCACTGTAGTCCCAGGACAGCCTGCACTCCAAACCTTTCATCGCCGGCCCCACTCCAGAGCCTGCACCCCCAACCAGAGCTCTCACCCCACTACCCCAACCCTCTACCCCAGCCCTAAGCCCCTCATTCCAAGACCCAACCCCCCTGCTAGTGCCCTCACACCCCTGCACCCCAGCCCTGACCCCCCACATACTCCATTTTTGGTGCACATCACAAAATTCATTCCACACATGCAAGGGGAAAATAGAGGCAACACTGGAGCCAACATTATCTGCCTAGTGAAACAATTCAATGATGGCTGAGTTTTGCGTGGCTTGGAGGAGGGAAAATGTCAGTGTCAAAACTCTGGCCTCCTGCCATCTGTATTATATGTTACTTTAACTATGGAAATAATTTTACAACCAGAATATCAAAGTTGATGATTTCTCCAAAGGTAAACACACTTATCCAATCTCCGTATGAGCTGGTGCTGGAAGCTGCGTGGCAATTGGCTTTTCATACACTTTTGGTTTGCTTGTTACAAAACAGATCTCTCAGATAGACACAAGATGGCAGCAGATACTCTATGCATTTTCTTATTTAGGCCCTTGCAAATCAGCAGGCTAAATATATCTGGTTTAAAAATTCAAGACTTGCTTATTTAGAGAGGCTGAAACTTAGTGTGCTGTTAAAAACTACTGCCTAAAAGCCCTGAACATTCTGCATAGTGGTGACAGGTCTTTTCAGAAAGTTCATTTAATTTTATTTTGCTTGTCACTTTGGAGCTTATGAGGACTGTTTGTTCTCATTGCGTGTTTGCAGCGTGAGATGTTATATAAGCAATAGGTGGGAAGATAAAGGATGTCTACACGTTACACATAAGGATCTTGTCTCCTGTCAAGCCACGTTGGTTGCTCAAGTTGACGCTGACAAGCATGAGAGTTATGCTTGCATATCAAGGGCTTATTAGATCTAGGGCTCCCGTGTAATCCAACTCCCTGGGCCCACAGGAATTGCCATGCCTAATAGGATTGCGTCCTACATCTGACAGGGCCCACTATCGGCAGTTCATAGGACCAGTGGAAGAAAACCCGTCACAAACCTTTGGGGCCATCTGCCCATTGGGTAGCTTTGGATTGCTGCAGGAAGTCATTGAGGCCAAGAATTTAACAAGTTTCAGAAAGGGACCAGGCATTTAGTTAGCTATGGTGACTATCCAGAGGAGTTGTTTTTAGTTATAACAAATTTGGAAGAGATATTAAAGCGTGTGTGTTGGGGCTTTTGTTGATCTTTAACTATTTGAGATCAGGGTTAGACCTTTATGGGGTCCAGAACACCATGCAAGAATATGGGGCTGGCCACTGTTAGAATCAAGATCCTGGACTAGATAAACCTTGGATCTGATCCAATCTGGCAAGTCCTATATTCCTGTGCTCACAGCTGCTATTTGCTTTGTGCCTTAAAGCAAGGGGCAGAGCAAAATGATTTTTATCCCAGCAAACGTAACAGTGGCTACACCCACTAGCTGAACACATAACATAGTGGTCAAAATCCTTTCCCACACCATGAATCACAAGCTACAGCAGCAAAAAGTTCAGGACATACGATCTACCCCATCTCAATCTAACCAGACAGACAGAATGTCACCGCTGCAGCTTTACCGGGCAGGGGGCCCGAACTTCCCCAGGTCACAAGCAGAGTGACCCTGCTCAGTTTGCTCTTGGAAGGGGGAAAGATGTGGCGTAGTGGGGGTGCTGTCTGCTCTGTATCCTGGAGTCCCCCTGCGCTGTGATGTGTGATTCCCATTGACTCACCGACATGTTGTGATGTAGTGTCAGTACTTTGCTGGTTGCTGTGCTTGAGTTGTGGGCTGTGGATGACTCCTCCTGGCCTCTGCCTGTGAGCACTGCCCAGCAGGTGGGCTGCCTAAGTCAGGTAGACAAAGACCCAGCTGGTCAGAGGAGTTGGGGCAGCGAGGGAACTAGGGAAGTGAGTGTTCTGGGGAAGGGTCTGTCTTGGGCTGGAACCATGAAGGAGACAGACTAAGGAGGGGCTGGAATCTAGGGGCCTAGGGACCCCATCTCATCCTGGCCCAGACTCCTGTAGACACATCACATCTATGCAGTGCGGTATCCTGGAGAAGCAATAAACCCCCTCTATTCTACCGGTTGGCGGGGAGTCTGTTCTTGCTGCTACGGGGGTGCAGTGTCACCTGACTACGCCGCCACAGGTTGTGCCTCTCTGTATCCCTCTTGGGATATCAACTGGTAGGTTGAAAATTCTTAATCCAATCCACTATTTTACAATCCCATTTTTCTTGATTTTCATAGGGAAATCCCATGCCCTGAAATCTTGGCTTTTAGGATTATAAAGGTTTCTGCCTGAAGTTTTTTTACTGGTTTATCAGATGACCTTGGGCATTAAGCTTCATCTCTTTGTGTCTCAGTGTCCCCATCTGTCAAAGAGGGATATTGACACCCGCTATGTAAAGAGCTTTGAGATCTACAGATGACAAGTGATATATAAGAGCTAGGTGTTGATACTATTCATTAAAGGGCCTCAATTACTTTCATGCCCATGCAGTGTGATCTTAGAAGAATAGAAGTATAGACCTGGGAAGGACCTCAAGAGGTCACCTAGTCTAGTCCCCTGCATCAAAGGCAGGGCTATGTAATAACTAGACCATTCCTGATGGCTACGTCTAGACTGGCATGATTTTCCGCAAATGCTTTTAACGGAAAAGTTTTTCCGTTAAAAGCATTTGCGGAAAAGAGCATCTAGATTGGCACAGATGCTTTTCCGCAAAAACACTTTTTGCAGAAAAGCGTCCGTGCCAATCTAGATGCAGTTTTGCACAAGAAAGCCCCGATCGCCATTTTCGCCATCGGGGCTTTTTTGTGCAAAACAGTTTTTAGCTGTCTACACTGGCCCTCTTGCGCAAAAACATTTCCAGAAAAGGGCTTTTTCCCGAACGGGAACATCAAAGCATTTGTGCAAGAAGCACTGATTTCAGACAGTAGAACGTCAGTGCTTTTGCTCAAAATCAAGCAGCCAGTGTAGACAGCTGGCAAGTTTTTTCACAAAAGCGGCTGCTTTTGCGGAAAAACTTGCTAGTCTAGATGCAGCCGATGAGTGTTTGTCTAAGCTGTTCTTAAAAGTGTCCAGTAGGAGATTCCACAATATCCCTATGTAATTTGCTGCAGTGCTTTGCCACTTGTACAATTGGGAAGTTTTCCCTAATGCCCAAATTAAACCTCTATTTCTGCAATTCAAGCCCATTACTTCTTGTACTGTTCTCTGTGGTTAAGGAGAACAATTTTTCTCCTGCCTCCTTATAACAACCTTTTATGTATGTGAAAACTGTTATCACCTCCACCCCTAGTCCTCTCTTCTACAGCCTGATCACACCCATTTTTTCAATCTTCCCTCATAGGTCATGTTTTTACGCCGATTAAGCTAAACCAGTTCAGGTTCTGTGTGGTCACAATGATGTAGAATAGAAAGTATTCCATGATATTCTGTGGAATAACAGTGTTCCCCTATGACTGGTACAGTAGAAGGGGGAGAAGAATGAAAGGGCAAAGTTTAGAAACAGGAGTTGCCACTGTATTAAATCCACCCTAAAGGGGAAGGTGTAATTAAGATACACAACTCCAGCTATGTTAATTATACAGCTGGAATCAACGTACCTTGATTTGAGTTTCCCCGCTATCCCCACATTGGGAGGCCAACGACAGCAAATCTAAAAGGGTGTCACAAGGAGGAAGGAGGAAATTTGTTCCTCTTGGTTTCTGAGGACAGGACAAGGAGTAATGGGCTTAAAGTGCAGCAGGGGAAGTTTAGATTGGACATTAGGAAAAAATTCCTAACTGTCAGGGTGGTCAAATATTGGAATAAATTGCCAAGGGAGGTGGTGGAATCTCCCTCTCTGGAGATATTTAAGAACAGGTTAGATAGACATCTGTCAGGGATGCTGTAGACAGAGCTTGGTCCTGCCTTGAGGGCGGGGGGCTGGACTCGATGACCTCTCGAGGTCCCTTCCAGTCCTATTATTCTATGATTCTATGAAACGCTCCCAGAGGCTTCCCTTATTCCTTTCAGGAGCAGGAGTATCAATTGCCAACGGGGCACCCACTGAGTTTGATTTAACATGTCTTTACTAGACCTGCTAAATTGAACTCTGGAAGATCAGTCGCTGCAGCATGAATCTTCCCTGGAGTGAAGACTAACGGTTGCTTCTGTAAGGATCTTGCAGACTTAACAATTTAAACAGAGAGAGATTCACCAGCAAAAGAATGAGATACTTTAAACAAGCCTCCACATTTTTTCTAGATTAATTAATTTGGTTTGCCGAGACACTCACAGCAATTAGGTGCATGTTAGGTGCAAGTACCTAAATGGGTGTCAAGTACCTAAAAGGGTGTAGGGAGTAGGAAAAAGGAGTAGGGAGAAACATTGTTCTCTTTGGCCTCTGATGATAGGACAAGAAGCAATGGGTTTAAATTGTGGCAAGGGAGGTTTAGGTTGGACATTAGGAAAAACTTCCTAACTGTCAGGGTTGTTAAACAGTAGCATAAATTGTGTAGGGAGGTTGTGGAATCCCCATCACTGGAGATAGTTAAGAGCAGGTTAGATACGCGTCTGTCTGGGATAATCTAGATGGTGCTTCGTCCTGCCATGAGGACAGAACACTGGACTTGACTTCTTGAGCTCCCTTTCAGTATTAGTAGTCTGATTCTCAAAAGGATGTTTGGTACGCTATGGAATAGTCTGGCAAGGGAAGTGGTAAAAGCCTCATAAATTACATCATTTAAGTCTAGACCAGGCATAGACATGGGAGACTATAATGCAAGTGACAGCCTTGCACTGGCAGGTATATGTTAAAGTTACCAACAGTGGTTGCCATGTAATGGTTAATAGCTGGTGAGCATTACCGTGCAGATATTTTCTATTTTCTGTACTCAGGATAGTAAATACTGGCTGTGTCTCAGCAGTCACTACATGATAACTGTCACTAAATGCTGACTTATTGAAGGGGGAACTGTCCCTTTGACAGAAATCAGAGATGTAAATGACCTCATAATTTATCCTGGGTTTATTTTTAGTTAGAACAATTCAGCCTGTGGCACATTTTGGGGGTGTTTTTAAATACTGAGCCTGTATAAAATCTGTGTAAGAAAAGGGCAATCAGATCAGCCACAAAATAGCATGAATGCTATTTTTAATATAGAAACAAGTGCAATAAAAATCAGAAAGGGATAGAAGGTAAAATAATGTACCTGCCCTGCTGTATCATACAGTCCCAGCAAGTGTTGCTTGCCTCCAACAGTCACAGTCACTGGAAGAGAGAAACAACAAAGAGGTTGTGAGACGTGAGCCACAGCCAGTAGTTATGATTTTACACTTCTTAATCATGTACCCTGGTGCTAGGCAGATTAGCATGTGCCCTATAATGTACATTCTAAACCAAGTTGACAGAATCATCCCAAATGAAGGTAACCAACGGTCACAACAAAAGCAGATGGTTTTGGCGGAAGTCTTATGTCTTAACAGATAGACAAACCGTAAGCATTGATGCTGTTTGGTTACACAGAGATCTAAAGACATTTGCTAATGTTTATAAGACCACCAGCTGATACTACTAAGTCATTAGGCATCCAAAGCACAGGAAACCTTCCTCCCCACTGCGTCTGTTTGGGTTATGTCTGGTCTTGGTATTTACTCTGCTTAGGTTTTTTTTTCTTCCTTAATTCCAGTGCCATTAAACGATGTATTTGGAAGTGGGTAATCCTCAATATGGATCACTGCAAATGCATTACTTTTTTGCTCAATCTCTCCTTTTTCAATGTGTTTTTTTTCAGTGCCAATAGAATCATAGTATCATAGGACTGGAAGAGATCTCAGGAGGTCAAGTCCAGCCCCCTGCCCAAAGCAGGACCAATCCCAACTAAATCATCCCAGCCAGGGCTTTGTTAAGCCAAGACTTAAAAACCTCTAGGGATGGAGTTTCCACCACCTCCCTAGGTAACCTATTCCACTACTTCACCATCCTCCTAGTGAAATAGTGTTTCCTAATATACAACCTAAATCTCCCCCACTGTAATAAGGTGTACAGGGGGCTTCCAAAAGAGGGTTCCCCCCCCCTGATATTTGGCCCCATGTAGATGGGCCAAATATCGGAAAATCCTCTTCCGGGAAAAAAAAACGGAAGAAGATATGCAAATACGAGCGCAATTTGCATACCTTCTTCAGGAAAAAACCCACAGTGTAGCCGTACCTTAGGACAGTGGTGAAGCATTGGACTGGGTTCCCTAGGGAGGTGATGGAATCTCCATCCCTAGAGATTTTTAAGTCTCGGCTTGACAAAGTCCTGTGTGGGATGATTTAGTTGGGATTGGTCCTGCTTTGGGCAGGGGCTGGACTTGATGGCCTCCTTTGGTCTCTTACAGCCCTAGGATTCTATGATTATTACAAATTGTTGTGCTTCACACATACTTGGAACATAGTAGTGCAATCCTGGGGACGGTGGGGGGATGTCAAACATTTTCCAGGATATTCACCAGATTTTATAATAGACGTTTTGGACAATACCCTTTATAATTTGATCTCAGTAATCAACATAGTTTCATCCAAAATATCTTCTGCTCTAATAGAGGTTAGTTATCCGACTAATGTTCTTAAATCATAAAGTTCAATTGGGGAGAGAGTTCAGTACTCAACTCCTCCCCACCCCCATTATTCAGGAGGAAAAGATTTTAAGCAGGTGCAGGATAGTCACATCTTAGAGCAGTGTTGTTCAAAATTAAAACAGTCAGGTGAAGGGACTCTCATGCATGTTGGGGAGGACTAACTTTGGTACTTATTTGCTACTTCTAATATTAATGAACACTGGGAAAGATTAATGATTCATGTTGAAAAGATGTATGACTCAGAATTATCATACACGCCCTAGCTGATGATTTTACATGATGGATCTTTTTCAGAGGAAAAATACCCACAACATTTCAGAAATTAATCTTGCTGCGGTGGGGAACTATGATGGGCAGTTGACCTCATCCTAGACTGGTAAGCATTAACGAGGCCCATAAAAGGTCAGTTAACCTGATAGGAAACACCTGAGGGGGAATTTGGCTTGATGAGCAACTGATAATGAAGGAGGAAGCCCAGCTGATCAGGAGAGCCCTGGGATTCTAGCCCTGAGGGAAGAGTGTAGCTAGAGAGGTGGAAAAGCAAGAAGCTTGGGGAAATGTAAGTCAACAGTGTAACACTGTTTGTTTTTTTTTGGGTGGGAAGAAGCAAACATTTTGAGATGCATTAGAGGAGTGTTGTAAACAAGACACAAGAAGCAATTCTTCTGCTCTACTCCATACTGATTAGGCTTCAGCTTCAGAATTGTTTCCAGTTTTGGGTGCCGCATTTCAGGAAAGATGTGAAAAAATTGGAGAAGGTCCAGAGAAGAGCCACAAAAATGGGGAAGGGTCTAGAAAATATGACCTATGAGGGAAGATTGAAAGAACTGGGTTTGTTTGGTCTGGAAAAGAAAAGTCTGAGAGGAGACATGATGATAACTTTCAAGTATGTAAAAGATAGTTAGAAAGAGGAGGGTGAAAAATTATTTTCCTTAACCTCTGAGGATGGGACAAGAAGCAAGGGGCTTATATTGCAGCATGGGTAGGCTAGACATTAGGAAAAATGCCCTGTCAGGGTGGTTAAGCCCTAGAATAAATTGCCTAGGGAGGTTGTGGAATCTCCATCATTGTAGATTTTTAAGAGCAGATTAGATACCTACTTGTCAGGGATGGTCTAGATCAGTGGTTCTCAACTCATTTCAGTCCATAGACCATCAGGCCAATCAACAAATTTTTGTGGACCACCTCCAGCACATGTCGCACAGGAAGAACAACACAGCAACCGCTCAGCACGATGGCGGCAGCTACACTGACGCTCAGCGCCTCAGATGGAAGTTACTGGCAACACAATGCAGTTGTGTCCTAGGTGACACTATGGATGATGCGCCGCGTGCTTGTGAACACGGCGTAAAACAGCCTAACGGCAGCGCCTGCTCATGCCATGTGACTTTGGACAATGTTTCTGTGGACCATCGAAAAAGTCACCATAGACCACCAGTTGAGAACCACAGGTCTAGCTTGTTCTTGGTTTTACCAAGAGTGCAGGGGGCTGGGCTTGATGACCTCTAGAGGTTCCTTCTAGTTTTATGATGCTATGAAATGAGGCACATCAGCTGTAGGTCAGCAACAGCCACTTCATTTGTTGTTGGCTTTTCTTCTACAGAGATAACAGACAGAAAACAGTTGATGCCATCCTATTACCTTTCAAGAAGACAGGTAAGGGGGGAGGGAGAAAGGACAAAATTTTCTATTCAACTACTTATTATAGTGTTGGAATAACAAGCTATGGAACTGTAGCCAAAGTGTAAATGAGCCAGACATCTCTTAGGAATCAGCCATATATTGGCACACGGTACAATTTTCACTAGTGCACTAATTCATTGAAATCAGTGACTCCTGAGAGGCACAGAGTCTTAGACTCCTTTCGAAAATTTCCTCTTTGTTTTGTCTTGAGTACCCAGCATGCTAAGAGTTTTATTCCCTGTGTTTGTCTGTGTTTTACTGTCCACTCCTTGTCCCGTGGCAGGTTGCTCTCTTTCTTAATTCTCCCAAGTATATGCAGTTTTTGCTCCTTTTTGTTGAACAATCTTGTTTTCCCCCCCCCCCCCCCAACTTTGGTTCCCCCCCCCCCCGTCATTTGAGGAAATATGTTTCTTGAACACACTACCACTATGTAACATAGTTCTCTCTCTCTAGTAGATTTAGTTTGTTCATGTGAATGTAAATTAGGATACAGGTAGCTGCTGTACTTTGAATTCTGGCTTTCCCCGTGGATGGTTTTGGTAACCCCCGTTTTTGGGAGTCTGTCGATGACGAGTCAAATAATTGGGAGGTCTTCTGACCCTTACGTAGACTGAGTCTGGAAGAGCTTCTCCTCTGACATCTAGTGAGGAACTGGGGGAGAAGGCTTCAGGAATTGACCTTGTTTGGATTGATATGCCCACTCTGCATGCACAGCATGGTGGAGTTGCTCTGCCCAAGTGATCCCTTTTGGCTGGTGTTGGATTGCTTGCCAGGCACTTTGTGATTGGAGGGGCCGGGGTAATAAAGTATTATATGAATGAAGAGGAGCAGAACTGTGCTTGGCATGTCCTGTGGCAGAGGTTCTCCTTCGCCTGCACAGTGTTCACCAAGCACAGAGCAGAGGGGGCGACAGCCCAGTCAATAAGGTGGGGACAGGAGTTATTACTAATAGTCTGGGGTCTGCATAAGGGTCCTAGGCACCACTGGACCCTCACCTTTCACACTCTGTAAGGCAGCTTTGAACTCTGCGTCTTCCCTGACCATGGACAAGAACTCTGGGTGCGGTGAAGGGAGGGGCACATTAAAGGACCTTTTGTTTGTTTGGACTTTTTTACTGCAGAGTGACAACCTGAGGCAAGGGACAGTGCCCAACATACTGTGGTTGGGTGTATTCGTCATATGCTTCTGAATCCTGTTTGCGGCACTTTCCCAACTCAATGCTGGGTTACTCTCCCCTTTTTATTACAACCTTCTTTTCTACTGACTCAATGCTTATGAGAGGTGCGGTATTGGAAGCTCCAGAGGTGAGGTGTAATTTTCCCAGATTACTGGCTGTGGGTTCGAGCGAGTTGTGTGTTTTATTGTTAAAATGGAACCCCTAGATAGTGAACCCGTCCCTTGTCGCTGCCAACTCTACCTGGCATGAGACATACACTTATAATAGCAACATTGTGATGTTTTGGAACAAGAACTTCCATCGTATCACAGGCATGGTGCTTGTGAAACAGACATCAGAGGTGAATTTTCCAATGAAGCTATCACAGCTCTGGCTAAGAGATGATCAGCATGTCTCTGCAATGTGAGAGAGAACTCTGGCTACTTCTACACTACAAGGTTTTTGTGCAAAAACCCGTGGAGCGTCCACACCTCAAATGCGCTTTTGCACAAGTAAATCAACAGTTAAATGGCAGAAGAGAGGGCTTTTGCCAGTGTAGGTAAACCTCCTTTTACCAGGCATTACTCCCTTTTGCGCTACAGCTATTGCACAAGAAGACAAGTTTGGATGCTCCAGAGGGGTTTCTTGCACAAGAAACGCCTATGGGAAAAAGCATAGGTGCTCGGATGGCCATTCTGTGAATGGCCATCAGAGCTTTCTTGCGCAAGAGCATCCATGCAGTGTGGATGCTTTCTTGTGCAAAAGCGCATTTGAGGTGTGGACGTGCTCTTGCTGAAGAAGTTTTTGTGC